TAGTAGATAGTAGTAGATAGTAGTAGTATAGTAGTACTTCAAAAACAAAACATACTGAGAACATCTAATACCTAATGCTGACAGTCCCTGGTTGATTTTTTACGATAGACTATATAGACCCCCAAAGGCTAAATTGCTTCTGGCTATGAAAACCTATGGTGCAAGGGTTGGGGCTACCGGGCTCTAGAGGGTGAAGGAGTCGGAGGAGCCTGGTACGAAATATAATGGGGTTTTGGGTTTCGGGTCATCGGCTTTAAGGGCTAGGGTCTTGGGTTTTGGGTCCTGGCGTCCTTACGAATTCAAGCGAGGCTGCCGAACGCTTAACATTTAGACGGTTTAGGGTTTAGGGTAGAACACGGTTTGCGGGCTGCAACGTGATATAATGACAGTGGGAACCGTCAGGAGTGGTAGCTTACGTTTAGCTTCCCTACTTGGGGGCCGTAAAGTTAGGAGTCTTAGCTGAGATGCAGCCGGAGGGGCAGCGCATTCTCGTCAAAGATTTCTTGCCAATCGTTCCTGTGGGGTTGAAGGGTGTGGGTTAGGGTTGGGGGCCTAACTAGCAGTTAGGGTTAAACCCTATACCCTACACCCTAAACCCTAAATCCAAAAACCCAAACCCAAGAGTTCAGGGTTTACCTATAGTCTCCATTGTAATTCCTTTTTTGGTTTAACCAAATATATAATAAGGATTCTATAAAGTATCCCCAAAAAGGAACTACAATGGAGACTATAGGTAGGGCTTCAGGATCCCGGGTTTTTTTTGAGGGGTCAGAGCCCAGGCTCTTGATCTTAAGGAATCGTGGCTTGAAGGCACCGGCTGGTTTAGGGTTTAGGGTTTAGGGTTCAGGGTTCAGGGTTTAGGGTTTAGGGTTTAGGGTTTAGGGTTTAGGGTTTAGGGTTCAGGGTTTAGGGTTTAGGGTGTAAGCGCAACCGGGGGCTCAACACGAAGTACGACGCCTGCGCGCCCCCAAGGCCCACACTGAAATCCCAAGTCACACAGCCCGTTTCCCCGAAACTGAGACCAAAGATCTGCATCTCTAAGCTGCCTACCCTCGGCCTCCGAAGCGACACCTCCCCAAACCCTAAACCCTAAACCCTAAACCCTAAACCCTAAACCCCAAACCCTAAACCCTAAACCCTAAACCCTAAAAGAGCCGAAGTCCGGACAAGAGTCGAAGACCCAAGCAGCATGTAAGAGGAAGGCTTGAACCAACCCCTCTGATGTAGGGGCCTTCAAGGGGTGTAGGGTTTTTCTTTTTTTAAGGGCCTTTTCTGCTGCTTGCGCTCCAAAGCCCATATTGGGCAGGCAGTCGGACTGCTTACCACGTCTCTCACTTCTCACCCTCAGGTAGGGTTTAGGGCTTAGGGTTAAGGGTTTAGGGCTTAGGGTATAGGGTTTAGGAATTAGGGTTTAGGGTTTAGGGTTTACCTACGGGTGGGCTTAACGTAGGGGCCTCAATAATTAGAGTAAGGTTTTGGGGGTCCTGTATACTATGTTTATAATAAGGAACCCCCAAAATGGTATTGGTAGTTATTTAGGCCCCTACATTGACCCTTATCAAGAACATGAAGCTAAACCCTAGCAAAAAGCCGACAGCCATGACCTTCCAAGGACAAAGAACCCCCAGGAACCCCGATTCAAACCTGAAGCCAAATGAAGCCAAAGGAATCAAAAACAAACAAATAAACCCAAATAAACTCCGGACCAGAATAAACCCAAATACACTCCGAACCATAGTCAAACCAAAAAACCCGGACCATAAGAAATCAGCAAAAACCCTAAACCCTAAACTCCGGACCATAATAAATCAACAGAAGCCTGCCTTCCGTTCCCACTACCCACCGTCTCAAAGTCACACAGCGCTTCCAGCCGACGCTTCAGCTCTACAATCCTGAAATGGGATAAGATTTTAGGGGTGTTAGTATTAAGAAGCATTGGGGTTAACGGTTGTAGGTGCATTTGGTGGTTTAGGGATTGGGCTGTAAGTTCTCGAGTGTTAGAGATTGCAGGCGTTTTGGGGCTTTCACTGTGCCTCTCAGGGATTACAAAGGGGGTGTGCATGGTTAGAATAGGGCCTTGGGATGCAGTTGAAGTGTTGGATAGCGGTCTAGGAGCTATAACACCCTAAACCCCAAACCCCTAAACCCTACACCCTAAACCCTAAAGCCCTAAAACCCTAAACCCTACACCCTAAACCCTTAAGCCCTAAAGCCCTAAACCCTAAACCCTATAGGGAATGGTGCTGAACTAAGCTTTGTCCAAGACCTACACTAAGCCACTAAGCCTCGAGAGCTGGAGGCCTTGGGGCTTGAGGGTTTGCAGATTTTGGGTTTAGGGGTTTAGAGTTTAGGGTTCAGGGTTTGGGGTTTGCAGGTTCAGGGTTTAGGGTCTAGGGTTCAGGGTTTGGGGTTTGCAGGTTCAGGGTTTAGGGTTTTGGGTTTGCAGGTTTAGGGTTTAGGGTTTGCAGGTTTAGGGTTTAGCGTTTTGGGTTTGCGGGTTCAGGGTTTAGGGTTTGCAGGTTTAGGGTTTGGGGTTTGCAGGTTCAGGGTTTAGGGTTTGCAGGTTTAGGGTTTAGGGTTTGCAGGTTTAGGGTTTAGGGTTTTGGGTTTGCGAATTCAGGGTTTAGGGTTTGCAGGTTTAGGGTTCAGGGTTTGGGGTTTGCAGGTTCGGGGTTTAGGGTTTGCAGGTTTAGGG